TATTTAATCAGAAGCGTTTAATATCTTCATGAATTTTACACTACAGAGTTCATTTAAATCATTTCAGCATTTTTCATCATCATCAACAGCCTATAACAGACCACTGCTGGACATAGGCCTCTCCTTAGAAAGGAGGTTTTGGCCTACTATACCACGGGTACCAAACCCTATACCAGACGGGTTGGTATAGGGTTTGTTTCAAGTTTTCCTTCTCTTTTCCTTCTCAGCATTTTTAAAGCTATATTTTTGGTAACACGTAATATTGGGCGAGCCTGTTACCTTCCTCTTCTACCATGAGGTATTATGATATCATCTTCCTGCTTTTCCCTTAGTTCTATGTTGGAGGGTGCAAGCAAAACATCTAATTCCCTTCGATAAATATGGAGGCATAGGCAAAAATATAATGCTGTCAAAATGACGCAACAAAGAATTGATTGAATGAATTAACCAAACCACCACCGTAGTCATGAACTACAAATATGAAAATACTAAAAGGTATTAAAAAAGCGCTTCAGTTCGACTGGAGTAATATTTAGCGGAATAATTTTAAGAATGACTAAGCCTGAGAGGACTGCAGGCAATGTGAAAGATGTAAGTTTATTCTTCTCTATGGTTTCCTAATGTTATTCCCAAAGAACGAGTTGGGGTTAAATAGGCTGACTCAATATTAAAATGGGTTTTTTATTATCTCGACGACAAACAATAACCAACCAATAAACATTTATGCCTCTTATGATGACGTATTTTCAAATAGGTACTTCTCTTGGTATGACTCGATTCAAGTATGAAAATTTATATATTTCGGTCTTTACTTAACCGCGATATTGTCCTTACGCATTTAGTGAGACATTTCGGGGAAAACCACTTAAATTATATTGTATTTATTCAGTTTTCAATGGAAATCAACCTATTCCTATATTATATACTTACTTTAAGTGTGTTGAGATTGTTGTTGCGGTTTGTATAGGCTCAAAAGGATTTGAATATTAAGGTTTTTATGGTAACTTTCATCAGCGTTATTTTCAATGAAATAGTGCATATTAATCTAATCCTAACCACATTTTCATTATTTCAGGATCAAAAGCACTGAATAACGAAAACATCGAGTACAGATAAGTGCCCCAAAGCAATTAAATTGTAAATAAATTGGAAGTGTTGGAATGAGACAAAAAAAATTGCAGTTAATTCTAATCTTCTTCTATTCTATTGTGTGTCAAATGTCCAAAAATATTAAATATCTTATTCTATATACGTGAAGAAATTTCTTTGTAATCCTTTTTTAAATAAATATGGCATACGAAAGCATACGAGTATATTATCATATTTGGAATGCTTAATGTGTAAACAGTGTACAAAGCTAAAATTTTTTTCATTAAGTCTTACGAAATTTTTAAAAGTTGTGTAAAAAAGGGTAAAATAAAACTATAACTGTCCAGCACAGGCAAAAGGTTTTTACCTGTCATGGTACAAAAGTCAATGACAATTCAAGTTATACTGGTCGATATAAGAAAACATTAAAAACGGCTGAAATTCGACTGCCATGTGATCTTTAGTTAAAAAAGAAAGAAAGAAATGGAAAATAGTCGAAGAGGGAGACAATTCTTTTCGAACCACGGGATTGTGACAACTCCTAAACCCTATTATTTTTAAAAAAGATCGTTCACGATATCCGTGTGGTGACGGATTAAGAATACGGAGTGTCAGCTCCCCTATTCATCCCGTAGTTCTCGTAAGAGCCGACTAAGGGACTAAACTATGCAGGACAAGACCACTGCAAAGAGAAGAAAAACTTAACGCAAACCCTATACCAACTGGTCTGGCCAGTGTGGTATAATAAACCAAAAGCTCCTTTCTAAGGACAGGCCTATGTCTAGCAGTTAACTATTAAAGGTAGACTATGTGGTGAAAAATTTGAGACTTTGGTACCTCCCAATTTACCAGTTTTTGTCAAAAACAATTTTTATATTGGTTCAGGTATGTAAAAAATATTTAAAAATAAGTATATAACAATTTTGTCGACCTAGTTTTACATAAGCAATATCTCGATGTATTTAAGAAAGTTTGAGACAGTGAAAAATAACTACAAAGTCTGGTTTTTGAAATTCTGTAGATATAAATAATCTGTTACTTTAATAAAACAAAATATCCTTATTATAAATGTTGACTAAGTTTCATTCACATGAGTATATTTTTAAAACGTTCTTAAGTATTCGGACTTATCTTTTTTTTTTAAATGAGTATATTTAAAAAAAAATCAAATTGTTTACTTGCTATAAAATATATGTATGGTATGATACTTTTTCGTCACGCGTTTGCCTGTAGGGGCCACGATCGGTGCACTCATTCGAAACATTCATATCATAACATAAAATCCAATTGACAATTATGCACTTAAACATCAAAAATTTGGCAGTCAATTTAACTTCCTTCTAATAAATTTATATCGAAATGAAGTCCTTATACCTATACAAATCTAGACAGAGTCAGGGGGTAGATAGCGGAACTGTTTTTTACTTTTAATTCAGTTCACTAAATGAAAGATGGTTTTTTAACACTAACATATTTTTGTTAAATTAGTCATGTGAATAAATCCTTAATATTAAGAAGTGTGTATTCATATGCTAATTCAACCTTTAGTGATGCTTCATTAGTGTTGTTTACTTGTAATTGTTCGTTATCTAAAGCCCCAGTAATCGCAGCACATGTCAAGAAATGTGACGTATGCTGTGTACTGAATCCTACTGAATTCATCTATTGCAAAAATAAAGCCAAGTCTCGAGACTTGGGTGTCGTTTTTTTTTCGACGTATTATGTTTGTTCGAAAACTGGAAACAAACCATATACCAAACCGTCTGGCCAGTGTGGTATAGTAGGCCAAAACCTCCTTTCTAAGGAGAGGCCTATGTCCAGTGGACTACTATAGGCTGTTGTTGTTGATGATGATGATGTTTAGAAATCCGTTAAGAAATGAATAGCATTCCAACGTCGTAAAACTGAATAAGCGCTTATTTAATTACGAGTATTTTATGAAATGAAAGAGCTATAAAAATTAAAAACAACTTGTAAATTTCTTTATTACAAAAAAGATTCATTGAAATGTTACTGTTATTTTAAATTAAAATTTTAGTTTAGGTAGTTTGATCTTGAATATTAATATAGCTTTCAAATAGTATTCGTTTTTCGGATTAATTTGATAACTTCCCTGACATAAAACTAGGTACAAATATTTGAATATTTTAACTTAGTTAAGTGTATTAAACTAAATAATAAGAGCATTATAGCCAGTATATTAAGATTATTCTGACAGCCTCGGTGGTGCAGTGGTAGCGTATGCGACTGGTGTGCTGAACTCCTGTATACCACGTAGAATCAACAGCTGTGACCTATGATAATGGCATAATGAGTAATGGCACTCTGGAAGTCTGTGGAAAAATTAATCACTTTAATTGGAGGAGTTGGAAATATAATAAAGCCACTATCCACATACGTTACTAAAAACATATTTCAATATAGTATCATTAGTAAAAATATATTAGAATGTTTAGTTTGCGTTTTATTTATAGTAAAGATAGTAAAGTTGAAGAAATTTTGTGAAACAGTGTTGAAAACACTTACTGGATTTGGCGGGCAAGCACATAAGTCTACATGACGTTTATAAAGCTGGCAATTTTATTTTTTTCTTTTTCTAGGCCTAATATTGATGTTATAGCTTAGAACACAACGAAAGAGAAGCAGAAGCATTAACTAGAGGAACCTATGGACTTATGTTATAGGAAGATACGAACGGAATAGTATTTCCTGTTAAAATTGTAATGGCTGTTCTCCTTCTACTGTTATGAGTCACGTCATGTGGTCAAAAGATCATAGTGGCTTTGCTGGTAGAAGATTAATTAAATTAAAAAATGATGTGTATATAAATTTGTGAACGTAGTAAATATACATATCTCTATACACTCAAGCTTGTATCTTGGACGGGGTATTAAATACACCGACGGCAATATAGTCTCACTTATGTAAAAGCGAAAACATATAATGTTGTTGACGATCGGACACTTTGGAAATGAAGGATAGGGCTAGGCTCTTGAAATATTGAAAGGGTCCGGATGTCTTAATAACAGCAGTTCCCGGATCCCTCGTATTACATGCGCAGAGTGGCACACCGTGTGGTTTTAGTCGGTCCGATTCCGACACACCACCCCGCTGTAAACCCCGGTGGGGTGACGGCCCGAGGGGGTTTAAACACATAAAAAAAAGAAGGGAAATATTGAAAAGGAAATTGCGGTAAAAAGTAAAGTCAAGAAAATGGGTCGCATGTACAGATGAATTATGGACTGTAAGCAATAGTTTGCAGACCAGGGTCGCATACCTGGAACTCGAACTTGCCTGTTATAAAGGTTTCCAAGCTGCCTAACTATATTTTAGTGTCAAAGGTGTTTTATAAGATTATAACTATTGTATTGTATTATATATTGTATTTTTATATACAATTATACAATTAATAGTATAACAAAATAGTTTTACCAGTATTTTTACTCTATTTATTATAAGACGGAAGTTAACAGGAAGCCTAATTACCTCATTTACATAATCATATAATTATTTTATCTCTGTAGAACGGTCATTGAAGTTTACGATGCGTTGTAGGTTCGACGATAGCGGAATTCTGGGATCATCCTGGTTGCGGGGAGACGGCGACGCGCGGTGGCACGATGCGATCCGAGAGATGCGCGCGCGCACTTCACGTCCAGTTTAGTCGTCCGTCGCGAGCGTAACAGTCCAGTGCTGTCCTACATTTACGACTGTTCTTGTAAAACACGCGTATTGCGTTTCATCGATCTCAGCTGGGCACGTGCAGATACTTCTACCGCTTTCACGGGCAGTCCTCGACCCGGGCCTACCACGAACTCCGATAATGGGCCGATAAGCGCTAATTACTCATAGTTTATTATTACTTAGGAATTGAGTGACGGGAAGACTCGTGAGTGCAGTGTCAGACTGTGATGGCAGAGAAACACGCTCTGATATCAGAAGTTATTCCACACATTCAAACGAACATGAAGGAATCTAAGGATATATCCAAGAACTTGATGGGTGGGGATTTTGAGAGGCAGTTTAGAGGTGCGATGGATAATGAGAAGACTGATAGACGATGGCACACGTGGTTGATTACACTGGGAGTTGTGGTAGCTGCTTTGGTTGCGTGGCTGTTGGTGTTCACAGTGGTGCGGGAAGTGCAGGTCCGTCAACTGCGGCATGAGGTGGACGAGCTGACTGCCAATATGATAGCTGTCTCCGCCAATGTCAAGGCTCTCAGCCACAAAATGGAGAAGAACAAACTATTGAATGAGTTTAAGGAGTTTCAAGATACGGTGAGTTTATATCTTATGTCTATTTACTCTCAGATATTGTTGGATCAGGATTCATTGCGAGAATAGAAGATAAAAACATGAAAAATATCACATAATAATGTGTAATACCTACCTAAAAATATATGTTCTTGTGATATTATATAATGTAAAATAAATTGTACATTTTTATAATATCAGCAGCATGTCAGCATACACATATATATGTTTTGTAATGTCAGCATTAAAGCGTGTCTATTTTCGGTGATGGCGGATGTTTATTTAATGTTCAACGAAGCATGTACAGCGCCAGGTAGAAATACTACAATAGAAAGGATCCAATCATTTGGAGAGAACATTGTTCCCAAAACTAGGTTGAGATGATTTTAAAGCTTGTAACAAAGCTTAACAAACCAAACTATTAAATTGATTTTAGTTTTCCAAATAAAACGAAGGTCTCGTCAACGTGTCTTGAATGTCTTACTTACGTAATTAGCTCTCTATAATGTTGTAGTTAGAAGATAAGACGTGTTTTAAATTCGCCAGCTGGGCTCTTAGTAACCAAGGTCTAGAGTATAACCATTTGCGTTATTACAGTCAATTGACTAAATTATATGGCAGTTGGCGTTGTAGCAAATTATTAGATATTATCGCCCGTCTTGCTTTGTATTCCTTTTAGTTTGTGTTTCAAAATTTTTGTCAAATTGTATGTTCGGAGGTTCGCGTGGGCTTTCAAACTGGTTTCGTTCACACTGAGCCAAAGTAAATATGTCTGTAAACAAAAACGCGACCGGCCGGCGTGTCTTCTTGTTGCGCAACAGTCTATAACGTCCAGTTAGAATCTGGATCTTATTATTAAAACTTTTGATCTTACATTGGGCCTGCTTTCTATTAATACTGCCCTTTCAAACATTCATTTGTTATTATTTAGTAGTTTTTAATTTTTCATACTCTCTTGTCTTGTATGTTGTTAGGAACTTATTAGCATGTTAGTTTTTATTTAATTAATAAAATTATTATACAGAGGTATTACTTAATTCTAAACTCGACAAACTTTTATGTTTGATTGCGAGTGACGCTCTTTTACATAACAATGAACCACCCCATTTATACCTAATATTATGCACAATTTTAAAAAGAATAGTTATTTCTAAAGAATAGTATTGAACACTATTACTTATAAAACTTTTAACAAAAATATATACCAATAAACTGCTTCTCTCAAAAGGAAGTTTTTTTTGACATTTGTCATTGATACTCGGCTCCTATTTATCGTAGCATGATGTTTATATCTTTCCTTGATAAAAGGGCTATCAAACAATAAAATAATTTTTCAATTCAAACTTGATTTCTGAGATTTCCCCGAATTTACAAACTCACAAACTTTATCTCTTTATAATATTAATATAGATCTCTCACAGTCTTCTGTCTCGTTCGTCTCGTTCACTCACTCACTTTTTATATTATGAGATTATTTTTCAATCTGCTTGATTTTTTTTTATTTTCTTTTATACAAACCTTTTTTTGACAATAATGAACACAAAAAAAGAATTCTCCAATTTGGTACAATGGTTCGATTGTGTCAATTAGGTGCAATGCGCGTACATACATTCTGGCGATCCATTTTATACAGGTTTACCAAGTTGGAAGTATAAATTCAATAACATTTAAACATCTAAATCGAGTTTTTTTTTACCACATATTTTTTACACTAGGTATATACAAAAATATGTGTGGTCATAAAAAAACTAGGTATACAACATTAATCGGTTTGACGTGAGAACATCCTCCGTTTTATCCCCTATAGATCTACAAGGTCTTCCTACTAACCTTTTATTATTTATTTATTTTTATTAGTATTTCAATTGTGTACCAAAAATACATATTAATTTAGTTGTATATTTTATAAATAACAATCGTTTTTATAAATCTGTTTATTACCAAGTAATTATACTTTGTTTAAAATTACACATCGCTTAGAAAATTTACACTAGTGTAACTTGTAATATTGTTTCACGAACAATTTTCAGATACGTTTTCGTGTTCTCTCAATCAGCTAGCACTTTACTGCTGAATATACTCGTAAGCCGTTCCCAACGTGCGCTAAAGCCCTTGATCTTTTATCTTCTGCATCTAATCTAATCCAGCCACCTTTCACAGGTCATCAGTTCATCTTTCTGGAACGTTTCGTTTACCGATCCGGTATATGTATTTACAAGAATATAAATACAAACGTACATATGTTGTATGCAGTGTATCAAAATAATAAAAATAAATCACGTATAAAATACATGATTCAATATACTAATTTATACTGTTAAGAAATACATCTAGTTGATAAAATGCTAAATATTCATTAACGAGCTAACCCTGTCAGCCTTCAAATTACTGGATTATTGTGATTAGGCATTAGTAATATCCTATATATTATATCCTATATAATATAGTACTCGTAGCGATTCGCTCCGGCTTCGCACGGGTTAAATAATATAATATAATAATATATAATATATCCCCACATACTCACACACGGCTGTCTGATCCCAAACTAGGCAGAGCCTGTACTATGGTAACCAGACCGCTGATAAAAATACTTATATATTTCTAAATACATACATATTATAGATAAATTACACCCAGACACAGAACAAATGACCGTGCTCATCACACAATATTTGTCCTGGGTGGGAATCGAATCCACGACCTCCGGTTTAGCAGTCAGGGTCACTAACCACTAGACCAACAGGCCCGTAACCGTTAAATGTAGAATCTTCGAATACCACTAATGTGGGGTCAGGGTGGAGTAATTAATTATACTACTATTATGATAGGACTATGCTACAGGGAATCTTTAAATGCAATATTTATAGGACCTCTACGATCCTGCCGGCCGCTGCCACCCGGGACGGGACGGGACCCACATTTCAAATCATTTTTAATGATATGCTGTAAAGATCAATTTTAATCTGCATTAAATGCACAGCGTATATAAAGTATTTGATTTTATAAGGAATAATAATAAAATAGCTACGTAAATAACCCCTTTTTTATATTTAAAAGATAAATATGGTTACTGTGGGTTATCCTGTGACGATAGACATATATTATCGCGGACTTTTTCTCTACTATAATATGCTTGTTTAACACGTATAAACCTTCCTCTTGAATCACTCTCTATAAGAATATAAGAGTGAAAACTGCATTAAAATCCATTGGGTACTTCAGAAGATCTAAGATGACAAGTGACCACTTCCGCCCACGGATACCTCTAACTCAAAGTCACAAATGCGTTCCCACCCTTTCAGCCCAGCCAAAATCAGAGGGAGAGAGAGGATTGTTTATTAAGAGTTCTCTTTTTAAATTTTTGGAATCGTGTAGATATAGATAAATAATACGTGTGCTGTTGTACAATACTTGTGCTTTTGTTGTAATTTATTTCAATTCTACTCGCAAAGTAGGGAAAGAAACAAAAAAATAGTAGTTTAATTCGATGAACGTTAGAGCATTTGTACTAAGAGCAAAAAGAAAAGCGGCTAATACCAGTATTAGAGTGAAGTCTGCCAATTGGTAAAGGAAAGGAATGGCGCCCACAGATAACCTGAAGAAGGTGATAGACTAAACGCGAAAGGCGGACAAACTGGTGTGCATTGGGGGAAGCTTAAACACAACTGTTTACAGTTTTACATGCACGATAATTACCCTAGAAAAGAAAACCAAATTCTCATGAGCTAAAAACTAAATAAATCTAAATTAATACAACTTCGCCTGGCTTCTTTACCTGTTTATTAAAGTGTGTGTCAGAATGGTGTCAGCCGGTGGTGGTGTGCGCTTATGTCTAATAGAATTAGACGTTGCAAATAAAACCTGTAATACTACAAATGCTATCAGTGTCTATAATTTTGACATAAATAACTTTCACAGCAACATTTTAAATACATAAAAGATACATACCATTCAAATAATTGAATGAAACATCAATTTTTTACCCAAAAGGTTTATACGTTGGCCCGTTTATACGTATACTTGTGATTTCACCCACATGAAGATTATACGTATAGGCCGTTCAATTTGTTCTCATCGGTTCGGCTTTTGCCGTTAATTCGGTTAATCGCTTTTAACTACTAATAGTGATGAATCATTGACTTTTATCTATCTTTAATATTGAAAAGAGAATTAAAACAATTGTGTAAACAGAAATTATATAGTTTAAGACAGTCTTATGTTATACTTAATTTCACGAGAACTGGTACACAATTTATTTTAATCATACGAAACTATATCATTGCTCGAATGTTTTTTTTCTATGGAATTATATTATTATAATAAATATATTGCTATTAAACAAAGTAAAGTATTATAGAGACTTAAAAATATCACACCATTTGGGAAAAGTACATTAAATGTAGAAAATACAATCACATTAATACATTTCTTGATAAAAAATAATGATCTCTACACCGTCGAAATGTTTATGAACCATTAATAAATTTATATATCGATAACAAATAAAAATGATAAAATGAACGTTAATGAGGTCTATTTAAATATATACAAAGCCCTTAGAGTCGTGAGAAGTTACACAGTTCATAAAAATGTTTGATTGCTTGAGTTCAATGGTGTCTTACTTAGTGAAATTAACTTTTAAGGAAGTGTCAAAGATTTCAATGCTCCTCCATCATGACGAATTGTAATAAACTCATTAAAGAGAATCAAGCAACTAAGGAATCGGAAAGTTAAGGAATTATGAATTTATTTTCGTACTTAAGGGTGGATTGGTGGTAGGTGTGGGATACCTTGCGGGAGGTCTTGTCTTGTCCAGCAGTGGACCTCTTTTAGTTGAGTGACTTAATGGTGGATTTGTTTCTTCTAACCAACTAATAAAGAATTTTCAAAATAATAAATGACGAAGTTCTGTAGTAGCAATCATAAAAAAGGAATATAATAAACAGTCTTCGATTCAAGTACAGCTACGTAAACAAAGTGATGTTTACCATGATATAATAGTGTTCTGTGTATAAATGTTA